ATTTATATCAAAATATATATAATATCAAAGGAGATCGAAGGAGATCTCTATATATATCAAAATATAACCATAATATTAAATGACAGTGGTCAATAGTGGAATTATAGTGTCTTGGACTTGTTCCTTGGAAAAAGGCAAGTTTGAAATTAATGCATCAAGAAATAAAGTAGCAAACATTTTCAATGGGATCATCTAAGAAATAATATAATCATCTATAATTTGAGGGGAGTAGAGTTGTCCTTAATAAAAACGGTGTTTGGACAAGAAACTAAATCCCATCAGTTGGGATCTACTCAGAGAGTTGATAGTTATTCTAATTGGCAAAACAATCAGGGTCCATGATAGCTTGGGGAGAAAAACCTACACACCACTGAGGTTGTAGCTAGCCTGATTTTTTAATTACTTATACAATATGAAGATGTATTATCAAGACTTGACCAGAAAGGAACCTGGGGTCTATAAATTTGAGGGAGGGAGTTCCTCATTTTTTTTTTTTTTTTTTTTTTTTTTGGGGAGCAGGGAAAGGTTTATTGCAGGACCAAGCAAGGAGAACAGGTGGCTTGTGCTCAAAAACCCCCAACTCAAATAATGTTTATTTTTAAGGTTTAATTTTTTAGAGCAGTTTTAGGTTCACAGCAAAATTGAGAGGAAGATACAGAGATTTCCTGTATACCCCCTGCTCCACACATGCACAGATCCCCCATCATCCGTACCCCCCGCCAGAGTGGTACTCGATACAATTGATGATCCTACATTGATTAACACATCGTTATCACCCCAAATCCTTATTTTACATTAGGGATTGCTCTTGGTATTGTTCATTCTGTAGGTTTTCACAAATGTGTAATGACACGTGTCCACCATTATAGTATCATACCGAGTAGTTTCACTGCCCTAAAAATCATCTGTGCTCCGCCTATTGAACCCGTGTCCCCTGCATCGGCAGGCGGACTCTCAACCACTGCGCCACCAGGGAAGCCCTAGGGGAGTTCCTCATTTTTTACAAATAAATTAATTTTAGAATTCCCCCAGTAAACTCATAAATTTAGAAGCCATGTTGTAGAATTTGTCTTCAATACCATTTATAACAGCTAAACTCAGTTCTTATATGAATTTATTATACTCAAGTATTAGAAGAAAAGAAAAATTTATAATTAAGGAGGAAGAGGATGTATACACATATAGAATCTAATATTTCTGGAAAGATACATAAGAAAATGGTACCAATAAAGGAAACTAGGGGACTTCAGGCTAATGTTTATTTTTTTAGTGATATTTAGTATTTTTAACATATGTGTGTATTATCTCTAAATTTTTTTTAATTTTACAGTTGGATTTAAATTTAATTTTTTGATTTAATTTAAATTTTAATTTAATAATTTTGATTCCCTTTATAATTTTAATTTCACATGTTACCACACTAATCAACCCAGGTTTTAGTTGGTTTTTGTACATTGTTGTTATTATTTGTGCCTATTTTATTTTGATACACAATCTTTATGAATCTAGAGATTAGGAAGCCAAATTCCAAATATCCTAAGACAGATGATGGGAAGAATTAATTTATCCTTAGTGACAATCTGTCATTGAAAAAAGCAAACAAAATTCTTTTCTTCTCAATACTCAAGGCAGTTTTACAAAATCCACTTTGGCCTCCAGCTCTCCAGGTCTTTAGGACCACTACCTAAAGTCTTCAGTAGAGATTTTCTTAACCCTCATTGGGGCCACAGAGTATATTCAGTTTGGTGGAACATACTAGTTGGAACATGTAGGAAAAAGCTCTGCTCATCGAGAGGCAACACTGCAGATCATGGGCTGGGCTGGAGAAACAGTAAGATCAGCCCCCAGTTAAAAAGGCATCTGAAAGCATACTCTGTGGGACAGAAAAAGGAAGGGACTTATACATAAATTACGTCATCACAGTTGAAGATTTTTTACACAGTGAATTCATGCACAAAGCATTATGGTATGGAACAGTCTTCCTCTACATTCTAAGAACCCCCCCCATTTATATAACTACATACATAAGTGTGTATATATGCATCTACATGTATATATATACTATATAAATAGTATACATATGCATCTACATGTATATATATATATACTATATAAATAGTATACATATGTATGTGCAACATATTTTGTCTACTTTTGATTTGATCATGATAATTATATCAAACGTTCATTCTAACCCTCTTTTTCACTTGTTATAAGAATACGTCACTTACCTTTCCTTTATCTATCTCATTTTCTAAGTTACTAGAAAACCTGATCCATGAGAAAAATTTAAAAGAACAGATAAATAGTTGCAAATTTTCAACTCACAAGCACTAGAATAATTTGCAATCACTTTATTGATGATAGTTACAGTCAGCTACCTCATGCTAAAGTTAGGCTTTTTCATGGTAAGCTAGGCTGTGGAGCATACATAATGCCTGCATCTCTGGCTACAGCTCCACTCACTTACCATTCAAGAAACAATTTGCAATGCAAGTGAGTAAGAGTGCCTTTACAGGGATAACATTACATCTGCTAATTTGAAGACTTTAGAACTTAAATTCAGATCAGAACTCTATAGTGTTTCCCTCCCTGGAAAGACTACTGTGCAGCATTCTTTTTGTGGCTCTTGGCATGCTATTGGCGTGAATTACTAAATTTTGGAGAATGAGACCATAGAGAAGGAATTTTAAGCATTTACCATTTATCTTTACCTTTTTATTTGAAATAGTTGACTGATCATGACAAAAGTCATGTAGAAATAAGTTCCATTATAGAGCACATTGCCTATATACAATGAAGGAGGGAGAGGCATGACTATGTTCCAAATGAGGCTCACTTGATTGGTAGAACACAACGACTTGTCATAAAAGCATCTCCATTTAATTGAAAATCAATGAGAAAATCCTACTTCAGTGCACAACCACTGCTAACTGGAAGGTTCATCATTCAATGCCCCACGACAGGCACAGAAGGCGGACCTTGTTCACTGCAGAAATCTTCTTGTCCATTATTCGTTCAGTTATCCATTATAACTATTACAAAACATCCATAAAAATTAAAGTTGGCTTACTAAAAAAAGCATGCCATGGGGAACTTTTTCCCCAAAATCTCAATAAGCAATGGATGGAATTAAATTTGGTCCAACTTTATTCATATATTATAAATATAAATGGCCAAAGCAGGATTAACAGAATATTAAGCAGAATATTTTAAACTTTTATCTAAGATTTATGTCATATGTAAGAGTATGGTATGAGAAAGTTTTTCTCCCACCAGAACTAAAAATACTCTTAAATTTTATGTCAATTAAATATCAATACATAATCATCAAGAGGTCAGATTTCTATAAATCCACAAAGAACATTGTGTTGGAAGAATTCATCTCAGCTCACCAACTTTGCTTCTTCTAATGCTCTCAAGGAAGAAGTTTGCCTTCTTCAAAAAGCATGTTAAGAAAAGATATAAACACAGACTAGTTACAGAGAGTAATCAACATAGACCATTTACAGGGATTAACCCTGGTGATAGAGTAGTATGTTTGAAGGTGAGGAGGTAAAGTAGGAAAGTAGCCTTCAAAGGAGACTTTTGCTTGATAACTACCTCTTGGAATTTCTTTTTTTTTTTTTTTGCGGTACGCAGGCCTCTCACTGTTGTGGCCTCTCCCGTTGCGGAGCACAGGCTCTGGATGCGCAGGCTCAGCGGCCATGGCTCACGGGCCCAGCCGCTCCGCAGCATGTGGGATCTTCCCGGACCGCGGCACGAACCCGTGTCCCCTGCATCGGCAGGCGGACTCCCAACCACTGCGCCACCAGGGAAGCCCTGGAATTTCTTTTTATTAGATGTATTCTTGTATTATTTGTATAACTGAAAGAATAAAATTACATGAAGATATTAAATGAACATATACAGATAAATGTAGGAAGAAAAGAAAGAAAGAGATTAAAAGTATGAAAATATTCTTTAGGTGGAAAAACCAGAAAGGAAAAAGAGGCTGAATCCTTAACTAGAATTAAGCACTGCTACTACATCAAATTTTGATAAAAACTATAACACCAGTGTACATTTTGTCCATATAGATAAATAGAATATGAAAGACAGGCTTATTTCATTATAGTCACTTTTCTTAAATAACCTCTGTGGACAGATGTTTAGCTTCCTTCATTTTCTATTCCAAGCTTCTTAATTGTCTCTCTTGTTTTAATATCTCACTTAATCCAAAGGGTCTTTTTTGAACTTCATTCTTCATCATCCCTAATGAGTAATCACTCTACAGCCATCTGGACCACGCTTTATTATTTATTTCACACTTACTTATAGCTTATATGTCTCTTCAACACTGATGAATATAAAGGAATACACCCTTAGGAAAACCTGCCTGGCATGACTGGTGGGTCATGCAGGGTGATGAAAAACTAGTTTCTGAAAATCAGTTTGGCTAGATAAGGCTCCAGGTGTCAAAGTACTTTTTAGTGTGGACACCTTTTCTCTTCCAGAATGCTTATTAAAAGCATTTAGGGGAAGAGGTCAAGGTGACAGATTAAGAGGACGTGGAGTTCACCTTCCCCCATGAACACATCAAAAATACATCTACATATGAAATAATTCTCACTGAAAACTAACTGAAAATTGGCAGAAGGACTCCTGTAGAACCAAGGCTGTAAGAAAGATACACACATAAGTGGGTAGGAAGGTAAGAAAAGCAACTAGGTCAGGACCTGTGCCATCAGGAGGGAACTCAGAGGACAAGGGACATTGCAGGGGCAGAAACCCACTCTGGGGAGTAGGTCAAGCCACAGACTGGGCATCTTAGTCCTGGGGTCCAACATGGAAGAGACAAGCTCCCTTGGCTAGTTGGAGGACCGCTGGGACAAACAGAAAGGCTGGAGAAGCCTGGACTCCATGCCTGATGAGTATGCATGTGCACACTGGCTTGCTTCCAAGGCAGGGAGAGAGAAATTTGCTCTAGTAGCTGCCAGGGTTTCCCTCGACTCTCTCACCATGCATCCCGGCCTGAGCTGAGCAACTGCTCCAGCCCTGTTCACTCCACACCAGAGTGCAGCACTGGATCTGGGGAAGCCAGGACCAGGAAAAAGACTTGACTGTGGGCAGTGTCTGAGCAGAGATGCAGATGCCTCCACAGGCAGTGCACTGTGTCTCTGTATGCACATGGGTGCCACTTGCTATGGCAGCCCTCTCCTCTGAGGCAAAGGCCCTGGAGTGGGGAGAGGAAAATATAAATACTTTAAGGGAAAAGCATCAGCTCAAGCCCAAACCTCAGGGCTTCTGCTCTAGCAACCTGGCATCAGACCCTTCCCCTAACAGGGTGGTGACAGCCAATGACCAGAGAGGAAGTGCTGCCTTGCACCCAACTCTAGCCCCTCCATCTCCAGCTTCACCCCTTACCAAGGTGATAGCTGCCAGCACACCCTGAGGAAAGACCGTGACAGACATTCAAATCAAATCCAGCCCTCCCACCAAAGGCACTCAGCACACAGTTTGCACAGGGATGCCCCTACTTAAGGATACCCCTTCAAGACCATAATATGTAACTGTTTCACCTAAATTTATAGAGGCAGAGAAAATTAAGTAAAATGAAAAGGCAGAGGAAATACTCTCAATTGAAAGAGCAAGAGAAAATTCCTGAAAAACTAAATAATGAAATAGAAATAAATAATTCACCAGGTAAATAATTCAAAACTTGGTAATAAAAATATTAACTAAATTAGGGAAAATAATTGATTTAAACAATGAATATTTTAACAAGGAACTATAAAAAGACCAAATCAAAAATAAATAATTCAATATCTGAAATTTAAAAATAAAACATACTAGAAGGAATGAAAAGCAGACTAAGTGATACAAAAGAGCACATACATGATCTGGAAATAGAATTATGGAAATCATTCAATCAGAACAGCAGGAAAAAACTTTTAATGAAAGAAAATTAAGAGATGTTTTGAATAACATTAAGCATTTTTATATTCCCATTATAGGGGTTCCAAAAGGAAAAGAGAGAAGGGGATTAAAAATGTATCTGAAGAAATTATGTCTGAAAACTTCCCAAACCTGAAGAAGGAAACAGATATCCAGGTACAGGAGGCACAGAGAGTCCCAAACAAGATGAACCCAAATCGACATATCATAATTAAAATGGCAAAAGTTAAAGAGAGAATTCTAAAGGCAGTAAAAGAAAAATAAAGACTCATATACAAGGTAATCCTCATAAGATTATCAGCTGACTTTTCTTCAGAAATTTTGCAGGCCAGAAGGGAGTGGCATGAAATATTCAAAGTTCTGAGACAGAAAAACATGTAACTTGGTTACTCTACCCAGCAAGATTAGCATTTAGAATAGGAGGGACAAAGAACTTCTCAGACAAGCAAAATCTAAAAGAATTCATCCATACTAAACCTACCCTAAAAGAAATGGTGAAGGGTCTTTTCTAAATGGAAAAGAAGTAAGAATCTATAGTTAAGGGAAAACCCTAATAGGAAAGGCATATATATAGTATGGATTAGAGATCACTTAAGCCAGTATGTAGATTAAATGGAAAAAAAAGTGAAAAAGCAACTATAACTACAATAAAGAATTTAGGGATAATCATGAAAATGTAAAATATGACATCAAAACACAAAATTTGGGGGAGGAGAGTAAAAAATGTAGATCTTTTAAAATGTGTTTGAACTTAAATGATTACCAGTTTAAAATGAGTAGACATAATTATAGGTCAACATAGATGAACACCATGGTAACTACAAATCAAAAACCTACAACAGATACACTAATACTAGAAAGAAAGGAACAGAAGCATACTACTAAAGGAAATCTTCAGAGCACAAGGGTAGAAAAAAAAGAAGAAATAAACACAGAAGAACTACAAAAACAGCTGGAAAACAAGTAATAAAATGGCAATAAGTATATACCTATCAATAATTACTTTAAATGTCAATGAATAAGTGTTCCAAACAAAAAACATAGGGTGGCTGAGACACTATAAAACTCTTAGAGGAAAACATAAGCAGAACACACTTTGACATAAATCACAGCAAGATCTTTTTTGACCCACCTCCTACACTAATGAAAACAAAAACAGAAAGAAACAAATGAGACCTAATTAAACTTAAAATATTTGTACAGTAAAGCAAAAAACAAACAACACTAAAAGACAACCCTCAGAATGGAAGAAAATATTTGCAAAAGAAGCAACTGACGAGGGATTAATTTCCAAACTATACAAACAGCTCATACAGCTCAATATCAAAAAAACAAACAACCCAATCCCAAAATGGGGGGGGGGACCTTCAAGATGACAAAAGAGTAAGACATGGAGATCACCTTCCTCCCCACAAATACATCAGAAATACATCTACACGTGGAACAACTCCTACAGAACACCTACTGAATGCTGGCAGAAGACCTCAGACCTCCCAAAAGGCAAGAAACTCCCCAGGTACCTGGGTAGGGCAAAAGAAAAAAGAAAAAACAGAGACAAAAGAATAGAGACAGGACCTGCATCTCAGGGAGGGAGCTGTGAAGGAGGAAAAGTTCCCACACACTAGGAAGCCCCTTCACTGGCAGAGATGGGGAGTGGCGGGGGGAAACTTTGGAGCCACAGAGGAGAGTGTAGCAACAGGGGTGCACAGGGCAAAGTGGAGAGATTCCCACACAGAGGATCAGTATCGACCAGCACTCACCACCCTGAGAGACTTGTCTGCTCACCCACTGGGGTGGGTGGGGGCTGGGAGCTGAGGCTCAGCTTCATAGGTCAGATCCCAGGGAGAGGACTGGGGTTGGCTGTGTGAACACAGCCTGAAGGGGGCTAGTGCACCACAGCTAGCCGGGAGGGAGTCCAGGAAAAAGTCTGGACCTGCGTAAGAGGCAAGGGACAATTTTTTCAAGGTGCGCGAGGAGAGGGGAATCAGAGCACTGTCTAAACCACCTCCAGAGATGGGTGCGAGCTGTGGCTATCACCGCGGACACGAGAAATGGACGTGAACCGCTAAGACTGCTGCTGCAGCCAATAAGAAGCCTGTATGCAGCACAGACCGCTATCCACACTTCCCCTCCCAGGAGGCTGTGCAGCACGCCACTGCCAGGATCCCTTGATCCAGGGCCAAATTCCCTGGGAGAACACATGGCACACCTCAGGCTGTTGCAATGTCATGCCAGCCTCTGCCAAGGCAGGCTGGCCCCACATTCCGTACACCATCATCCCCCAGGCCTGAGTGAGCCAGAGCCCCCTAATCAGCTGCTACTTTAACCCCATCCTGTCTCAGTGAAGAACAGATGCCCCCAGGAGACCTACACGCAGAGGCAGGGCCAAATCCAAAGCTGAACCCCAAGAGCTGTGCAAAAAAAGAACAGAAAGGGAAATCTCTTCCAGCAGCCTCAGGAGCAACAGATTAAATCTCCACAATCAACTTGATGTATGCTGCATCTGTGGAATACCTGAATAGACAATGAAACATTCCAAAATTGAGGTGCTGGACTTTGGGAGCAATGATATAAATTTTTTTTTTCCTTCTTCTCTTTTTGTGAGTGTGTATGTGTATGCTTCTTTGTGTGACTTTGTCTGTATAGCTTTGCTTTTACCATTTGTCCTAGGATTCTCTCTGTCTATTTTTTATTAATTTTCTTTTTTTTTAGTATAGTTTTTAGTGCTTATTATCATTGGTGGATTTGTTTTTTCCTTTGGTTGCTCTCTTCTTTCATTCTTTCTTTCATTTTTTCTTTTTTTAATTACTTTTTAACTTTTTTTTTTTTTTTTTTTTTATGTTTTTTTTTTGCGGTACGTGGGCCTCTCACTGTTGTGGCCTCTCCCGTTGCGGAGCACAGGCTCCGGATGCGCAGGCTCAGTGGCCATGGCTCACGGGCCCAGCCGCTCCACAGCATGTGGGATCTTCCCGGACCGGGGCACGAACCCACGTCCCCTGCATCGGCAGGCGGACTCTCAACCACTGCGTCACCAGGGAAGCCCATAACTTTTTATTTTTAATAATTATTTCTTATTTTTATGTTAACAACATTATATTTTATTTTATTCTTATTTATTTTATTTTTTTCTTTCTTTTTTTCTCGCTTTTCTTCTGAGCCATGCGGCTGACAGGGTCTTGGTGATTGGGCTGCTGTCAGGCCTGTGCCTCTGAGGTGGGAGAGCTGAGTTCAGGACATTGGTCCAACAGATACCTCCCAGCTCCACATAATATCAAACGGCAAAAGCTATCCCAGAGAGCTCCACCTCACTGCTAAGACCCAGCTCCACTCAATAACCAGCAAGAGACAGTGCTGGACACCCTATGCCAAACAACTAGCAAGATAGAAACACAACCCTACCCATTAGCAGAGAGGCTGCCTAAAATCATAAGGTCACAGACACCCAAAAACACACCACTGGACACGGTCCTGACCACCAGAAAGACAAGATCCAGCCTCATCCACTAGAACACAGGCACTAGTTCCCTCCACCAGGAAGCCTACACAACCCACTGAACCAACCATAGCCACTGGGGGCAGACACCAAAAACAACGGGAACTACGAACCTGCACCCTGTGAAAAGGAGACCCCAAACAGAGTAAGTTAAGCAAAATGAGAAGACAGAGAAATACACAGCAGATGAAGGAGCAAGTTAAAAACCCACAGACCAAACAAATGAAGAGGAAATAGGCAGTCTACCTGAAAAAGAATTCAGAGTAATGATAGTAAAGATGATCCAAATTCTTGGAAATAGAATGGAGAATATAAAAGAAACGTTTAACAAGGAACTAGAAGAACTAAAGGGCAAACAAACAATGATGAACAACACAATAAATGAAATTAAAAATTCTCTAGAAGGAATCAATAGCAGAATAACTGAGGCAGAAGAACGGATCAGTGACCGGGAATATAAAATAGTGGAAATAACTACTGCAGAGCAGAATAAAGAAAAAAGAATGAAAAGAACTGAGGACACCCTCAGAGACCTCTGGTACAACATTAAATGCACCAACATTCGAATTACAGGAGT